AAAACTCCACAGAACCCTGCGGTTTGTTCCTTTGTCACCTAGAGACGGTTTCCCTTTAAGCACATGTTGCTTTATTGCTTGCACTCCAGTGTTTTTAAAGGAAAAACACAAAATGAGAAAGGGGTTGTGCGGAGGAGAGCTGCAAGATGACTGTGCCCCTTTGCGAATCCTCCCCTCCCGGTGCAGGAACGCCAGCGTGCTGCCAGGCACCTTCTCCTGTGAGAGCAACGCGGGCAGCTCGCGGCGTCCCGCCGGGAGCGCGGCCACCGCGCATCTCCCTGGCACATCCACAGGCTCGCGTGCTGGAGGAGTGTTTTTTCCCCCCTGTAAGCTGCCAAGGTGGACTCCTTAGCTCCTGCGATACACCAAATGAGACTGCAGTTCCCCCATCAGTTTCATAATAGTCAGAAAGCTTCCATTTACATCACTGTGTGCAGTGCAGGGCGGCAGCGGCCAGGAAATTCGAAACTATTTTGATGCCAGTTGACTTAGAACAGCAGCAATTGAATTAGCTGATACCGTTATAGATAAACTGATGATCTGTGCATTTTGTTTCTTTGACCAATGGGTAACTGCTGGAGCTACAGTAACCTCTGTGAGTAAGGAGTCTGTTCAAGCAAATATCTCTAATTTCTCTAGCTAGCTTATATATATATATATATATATACTGTGTAGACTAGAGAGACACTCACACCATTCTTTTATAAAAATGTAACTGTAAAAAAAATGTCTGTCTATGCTTGTAACGTGTGCTTTGCTTCCTAGAATTTCCTTTTATTATGCTGTAGGCAAGTTTGATTTAAATGCAATGGTTATTTACCTATGAAATATCCTATCTATGCCAGTGCTGATTTAAGGCATGAATTCTTTCATCCTCTAGTCATTGGAAAGGCTGCCAGCTGCTCTTACGTTATATTTGCCCTGTATCAATTTCCTAGCCATTCACCCCCTTGCTATTTTAGCTTTTTTTTTTTTCTTTTTTCCCTCTCTGTCTCTCTTTCCTTTTAATTTTTGCTTTGTTGAAAGAAGCCACCTTCAATGCAAAGTAGAAATCGATGTTACCTGAGAGTGTGTGTCCTTTCATTGTTTGTTTGGTGGTGGTGGTGGGTGTTTTTTTTCCCTGCTCATCTTCAGTGGAGTCCTTAAATTTTGTTGTTGCCTTTTCTAGCCTTGTTTGTAATGCAGTCATGTTGGGGGATGGGGCCGGACAGGATATGCCAGTAGCTGCAGCAAGACATGATGCTGTGGTGGTGGATGGGAGTAAGGGAGGAGTTTCCCTTAAAGAGCTCCAGCTCCGCTAAATCCTGCCGGGAATGAGGCACCGGGATCTCCCCGGGGTGGTTTTGTGCCCTTCGGGAGCAGGTGGCAGCTCCTGGTGTTTCACTGCAAGGGATGGAGAGCTCGGCGGTGCCGTGCGTGGTGTTAGGTCGTGCAGCCAGGGCGGGCTTGTGCTGTAATGCCACATCAACGTGGCTTTTTTATTGGGCCCCGAATTGGGCATTTGTTATCCAGGATAAAAAGGCAAGAATCCTGCTTCTTTGCATTTGCGTACTGTTAGAATGGAAATATTTCCAGAGCGATGTTACTGTGATCTTAGTGTTAAAAAAAAAAAAAGTCTTAAGTCTTTACTTTCTACATGAAAGTGTTTTTCTCTTGCCCAGTTGGAGTCTTTACAGCTTTGCAAGTGTTGCAGATTTCACAGAGTCACCAAAAAGCTGAGTTTGGAAGGGGCTGCTGGAGATCATCCGGTCCGGCTCAGCTAGAGCACGCTGGCCAGGACTGTGCTCTCATCTTCTGTATGAAGATGTGTATAGGTGTTTCATGTGTGTAACTCTTCCTGAGCGTACCAGGTTTGGCAGAAGGTGAAGTCTGCACAACAGTGGGGGTTAATGGAGGCAGATAGATCAGGTGTTTGCTCTGCATGGTTTGCTGCTGCTCTCGGCCACCTTCTGAGAGACAGAGATGCCCAGCACTGTGGTGTTCGTAGCTGGGGAAAGGCCACCGGCAAGTTAACCATGAGGCAGCATTGTGCCCTTGTGGCCAAGAAGGCCGATGGGATCCTGGCTGCATCAGGAGGAGCGTTGCCAGCAGGTCGAGGGAGGGGATCCTGCCCCTCTGCTCAGCTCTGGTGAGGCCGCACCTGGAGTATTGGGGGCAGTTCTGGGCTCCCCAGGACAAGAAGAATGTGGAGCTTGTAGAGAAGGTCCAGCATAGAGCCACAAAGATGAAGGGACTGGAGCATCTATCATATGAGGAAAGACTAAGAAGTGAGCCAGGCCTGTTTAGCCTGGAGAAGAGAAGACTGAGAGAAGATGTGATCAACATGTACAAGTACCTGAGGGGAGATGGGGCCAAACTCTTTTCAGTGATGACCAGTGATAGGACAAGGGATAATGGGTGCAAGATGAAACACAGGCAGTTCCATCTCCATGTGAGGAAGAACTTCTTTCCTGTGAGGATGACACAGCCCTGGCACAGGCTGCCCAGAGAGGCTGTGGAGTCTCCTTCTCTGGAGATCTTCCAACCCCCCTGGATGCCACCCTGTGCCACGTGCTCTAGGTGTCCCTGCTGGAGCAGGGGGTTGGGCTAGGTGATCTATAGAGCTCCTTGCCAGCCCCAACCATCCTGAGATCCTGTGATTCTTTCTCCTTAGAGTCAGTTCAGAAGCGTTTGGCAGGGCAGAGCCTCACTGCCTGGTCAGGTTTATGTGTGGTGCCCCTTTAAGGCCTTGGCCTCCAGCATGTCCGTGGTGAGGAGCCCCATGAGGAGGATGTGCACAGAGGGGGGTCGCGCTGGGTGTCCCCAGAGATGGCAGGCCCATGTGTGCGCAGGAGCACAGGGTCCCTGCGAGATGATCTGGTGCCCGCTCCGCAAAGCGCGTGGGTTGGAGGTCAGTGAGGAGCTGCTTGTCTCGGCCAGTGAGGCTGGGTGCTGCCGTGTGGTTTGTGTGGGGCTGCCTGACACACGGGGAAGGTGATGGTCGGGGTCATGAGGAGAGGAAGACCTGGGTCTTCTTCAGCCTCGCCAGACCGTCCGCCCTGGGGTGCTCGACTGAAACCCTGTGGTGAAAGTGTGCTGAGATAAAGCAGTGAAGAGGGCATCACTGCTCCTGACGGCCTCGCGAGATCACCTTCTTCAGTCCAGGTCACTGTTCAGTGATCCATTCGAAAATGGATCTGAGCAGTTCATGGAGAACTGGCCCAGGAAACTTTTATTCTGGAGCAGTTATATCAATGGAACTGAAATTCCAGGGAACCTATTGGGAAGAGACCACAACGAGGCTCATTCCCAGGCTGTCATTTGGTCCAGCACAAGGTGCTCTGCTCCCCTGCGTGGACAGAGCTCCTGGGTGCCTCGTGGTGAGCGAGCTGCTTCTCTCTGTCGGGAAGCCATGGGAAGATGCGAGCGACTTTAATGCTGAACGGGCGTTAAACCGTCTTTGTTTTCACCTCGCACTCGGCCTGCTGCTCAGCACAGCTACCCCATTCCCTCTCAGGAATGGCTAGTGTCCAGGCAGTGCAGAGGGAAGATGGGAATCTGTTTGCAAATAGTGCCCAGAGATATACCCCAGAAAGGGCAGCGCTTCCGAATGTGAGTTGAGCCCTGGAGCTGCCTCCCAGATATTGCTCAGAATAGGTGTTTGGATCCAGCCCCTTTTGTTTTGTTTAAACCGGTTGATACTTCAGGCTAGATTTTTTTCCCAGAAGTGTGCAGCAAACACAGATGTGGCTCCGTTTTCCAAAATCTCAGTTCATCCTCGGGCCGTTATGTGAGAAGGCCAAGTGCTCGTCAGTGCGTCATCCTGAGGTCCCTCAGAGAACAATGAGTTCTGTGTTACCCAAGAACAATGGCAGACACTGGGTGCTCGGCTCTTTCGAAAATAGGACCATCAGCCTTTCCCCCTACTTACAACAATTGTGACTGGAAAAACATCACTCAGTGGGAGGGGGAACAAGCTTTCTGAGCATCGCTGGCTTTGTTTTTTGACTAGGATGTGTGAGCTTTGAAGTGTATGGGCACTACTCTAACATGATTGTCAATTACGTGAGTTGTTGGAGGAATATGGTGGTTCTGGCAGAAAGTAAAATTGCCCCTTAATCACCTTGTAATTTAGCTAATTGGTTTTGTGGCAACTGTAGAATATGTGGGATGTAACTAGTTATCATCGCTGTGTTTCTTCTTGGTAAATGGAAATGACTTAGAATCCTTTAAATCCTTCAAAAATAAAACCAGCATGTATGGCACGTGCTGTGGATGAATGTTAAACCTCTGACTATCTGCTTTCTTCAGCCCTTGCATCTGGCAATTGTGTGTTCATGGGCCAGTGGGACGCTTTCTGAAGTGTAGCAGACGTTTTTGGCATTTCTTCCTTTGCAAGGCAAATGTCTAAAGTAGCCTGCCCAAATATTCCTGTGAGAAAGGGCCAGCTGTGGGTAAGTGCAGTGTGAGAGCAGGCAGGAGTGACTGAAACAGACCGGTATTTTCTCTGCAGGGGAGAGCATGGTTACACTGTTCCTTGAGTGCCGGGAGGGGAGGTCAGGCGCTTTCCTTGCGTACGCAGAGGATAAATCCGTGATTTCTTTCCTTTTCTTTGCAGGTAGTGGCCATGGAAGTAGCACTTTGCTCCCTCACACCATCATCAACGAGTTTCCAGAGTATGGCACGATAGAGGCAAGCGGAGACTCCACGAGGACTTCCTGTGAGAGCAAAGGAGAGCCCGTGGTCTGCAGCCCCGAGCGGTGGGTGCCCTGCGAGGCGCTGGCCCGGGGCGCTGCGTCTGCGCGGGGCGCAGGAGCCCACATGAACGCATCACGGCTGCACGTCGCAGAGGAGAGCTTGCAACCTGGGGGTGACCTGCCAGAGGGTGCGAAAATCCCTGGGTGGCTGGGAGGAACAAAGGTGCAAGAGAAGGCAAATGCTCCTCTCGATTCGGAGACGCAGATGGAAAAAGAGAGGGTTACTGGCAGCCAAAATGCGCAGGCAGCGGGGCAGGAGCCCACATGAACGCATCACGGCTGCACGTCGCAGAGGAGAGCTTGCAACCTGGGGGTGACCTGCCAGAGGGTGCGAAAATCCCTGGGTGGCTGGGAGGAACAAAGGTGCAAGAGAAGGCAAATGCTCCTCTCGATTCGGAGACGCAGATGGAAAAAGAGAGGGTTACTGGCAGCCAAAATGCGCAGGCAGCCAGAGAACCAGTTCCAGCAGGCCAAGAAAAACCCTCAGACATGCCTCCTCCATCTGAAGGAACAGCTGAGGAAAAAACGTATTTGATCATAGAGAAAGATCTGGCTGCAATATTGACTGGAGAAAAGCAGTCAGAGTCCTCGCAAGCCGTCAGCAATAGAGCCGAGGAGGTCCCCGCGGCGCAGGAGACAAGCTGTCGTGGACCATCTGCAGCAACCCCGGAGGCCGCAGCCTGCGGAGCGCCCACCGGGGAGCTCTCGGCGTGCAGTGAAGGCAAAATGCAAACGGGCCCCGAGCGGAGGCTCCCGAAAGAGGCAGCTGTGAGCAAACATGTAGAATTTCAAGGGGTGGAGATCTTATGGTTGAAGAAAGCCCAGGAGCAGAAAAGGAAGAAGCATTCGCTGCGGGAGGCTGTGTCTGTGGAGAGGAAAGCCTTGCCCAAAGTACCCAGCCACTCGGCACCACCCATGGTCTCCCCGGCACTGCTCTCCTCATCGGAGAGTGCTTGGAGGGAGGTCTGGGAAGAGCTGCGGCCGGGAACCGTCCCTGGAGCTACTCCTCTGGCTTTGCTGGATGAGAGCGGGGAGGATGACGTCTTTGTGACGGAGGAGGAGAAACACGGCGAAGACACCAAGGTTGCAGGAGGCAAGGACAGGTAAAGTGGCTTTTTGGGGATGCCGAGCGGGCAGGCTTGCTCCCTTCCCAGGGCTGTGTGGATTGAGCTTGCTGCCCGTTTGCAGGTGCCAGCACCTGCCCCGTGCGTGCAGCGTTGGGGAGCACAGCACGTGGCGTGGCTGGGGGCCCCCGCCCCCGCGCCACACAGGGCTGAGCTTGGCCCGAGTTTGGAGTCACTCCCAGGTCTGGGAGATTGGCGTGTAACTGAGCGCGTGGAGCCTGCGGGCCTGGCTCTGTGCGTCCTGCTGGACTGGCCTCAGGCAGGCTGCAGGGGATGTCGTGCGTGAGCAGCACGTGCACCTCTGTGAAGCAGAGACACTGCAGCTGAACTACCGCGTGTTCTGAGAAGGTAGAAGCAGTGGGGAATTAAATAATCCCTGCTTAAATAACAGGAAGGCGTCCCGCTTTGCCTGGTTTTCTCATGCAATCAAAACAGTAGTAACTCATCCCATGCTTGAGCTCTGACCTGGAGGTACTGCTGCAGTCAGTGGGAATTGGACTGGGATTGAGCTGGAATCAACAGGGCAGCTTTATGTGTGTGCGCATCCTTCGGGGCCGGCTGAGCTCCGCCGCGCTCCGTGTGCGGGATGGCTCATGCGGGATGGCGCCGGGCGGTGG